ATATAAATTCTAAATCCATATGCCAAAGGGTCCCGGGTTCAACCGGTCAAGGGCACGTACCTCGGTTGCAGGCTCCTCCCTGGCCTGGGCCCTGGTCGGAGTGCATGCAGGAGGCAACCAATCAGTGTGTTTCTCTCACATCAATGTTTCTACTCTCTCTAAAAAAAAATCAATGAAAAAAATATCCTGTGTTGAAGATTAAAAATAAAATAAATAAAGTGAATTATTCCTCAAATGATCATTTGCATAATAAGTTTTCTCAATTCACTGTGTCAGCATAGGAACCACGGAGAGTGGAATGTCAGGTTCTTGCTTCCCAGGTAAATGAGAAGCATGTTTATTGCACTGAAACAAAGAAAATGAAACCAGGAAGAATATCTTTGCAGAATTTGTAGTCCCAGTCTGTTTATTGTGGGTCTGACAGCACATCTGCATCATCACCTCTGCTGAGTTAGCAAACACTGACAGTGTTGGGAAAGGGCGTCATGAATGCCTTTCGGGGGCTCCAGTTTGCATCTCTGTCCCTGTTGGTCCAGGGCTCCCATTAATAATTGCTGATGTGCTTTGCATTCCCAACACATCATGAAAGAGGATTAACATCTGTTGTGCCAAAGAAGAAAAAGAACACTGATATTTCTTATAGTGGACATCTCTGTTTTCCCAGGTTTAATTCAATAGCTTTCCTTTGTTGATATAGGGATTTATGCATTTCACATAGTCCCCATCAGAAAATGTTGGCAAGCTTAAAGAACTGTGCCCTGAAACATTGATGGGCTCTGCAAAATGTCACAGACCCCAGACTCACTATTTCTGAAACACTGTTGTGAAGAAAAATATGCAAATGTTCTTACTGTGCAGGATCCATTGTCTAAGTGAAGATGCTTGTTCCATTTTTCAAATCAAGTTGTGGGAAGAATCATGACTTTTTAAGGGGTCAAAAATGAGAAAATGCAAACCATCTTAACTATGGAATTCTTTAAGCTACTAAAACACACACACAAAAAAAATACATGTCTCTATATTTTTAAATTTCATGTTTGATTTTAGTCAGTGACTAAAGATGGAGTACAGCATTGCCAGTTTACAAAGTTATGGTTATATAAACTGAGGTGCATCACAGAATATTACATTACAGTTGCCTTGTCTGTAAAATAAAAGGAATAATAATGTCATTCAGTAGAGTTGACCAAATTATTTGTGATAATAATGAAATAAATCATTCATTCAAATTCTGAATTAGAAATATTATTTGCTATTTATATAACATTTGCTTAATATATTTTTTTTCTTTAGGCCAGGACTTCTCAACATCAGTGAACCTGCCGCCCAGCCCTGGCTGGCAGACACGTGGCCTAATACTGGTAACAATCACAATGACTGCTCCATCAACTGCTGTACAGCAGGCAGTGGGAACAGTGACAGCAACCTCACCACCTACAGTCGCCCAGGTTAGAGACCCAGAGACATCTTGATAAATTTCTTTCCCTCCCTACATTGGGAGAGAAAACTTGGTCAACATTTTCGTGAAATTCTGAGTATGGTATAGCTGTCAAGCCTATTTACTTTTTCCATCCCTACATCTCCACAATTTATTCTCCCACAAGAATGATTCCCAGTGTTTGATGGGAGTATGGAGAATACAAACTCCAAAATAGGAATCAAATTAGGACAAATGAAATTATCTAAAAGTTTTCATCTTCATAAAAATGTTTGCAGTTATAATTTTTAATGGTAATTAATTATTTTCAACATTTTGGGAATAAAACATCAAAATATGAATAAATCTATAGTTTGAGAGAACCAAATTCTTAATAGCAGTAATAATAACAACTATGTAACAATAATAAAAATGCTTAATTAACTGAAATTTAAATTCACATTTTTATAGTATAGAAGTAAATCCTGGTGACATGATAAATATATATCTTTTGCAGATGTGTATTCATCTTTTATTTTGTATTGTATGTTCTTGGTTCAGAAATTTATGCAAGTAAAATACTTTGCTGAAATGTCTTGCTAAAATATGAATGTGTAGTACGTAAAATTTGAAGGGATAAACAAAAAATTCGAAATGGTTTTTATTTTAAAAAACCTCAACATTCACAATATGGGAATATTAAGAGAATCGTAAAGAATCAGAAGATATGACTACAGAAGTAAGATAATTCATAACCCATTGAATTAAGAACAGGGAAACAGAACATGGCATTTAAGTAAAGATGGTATATATGTTACATAAAGAGCAATCGTAGTGTAATCTGTAACTCTGACCTGGAAAGAACTCCCGATAGATATGGAGAGGAATGTCACACAACCCGGTGACCCAAGCCCATGCTCTCCAAAGGTGCATACGCTAGTTGTCCTTTAGGCAGACAGTCACATAATTATAAAAGGAAGCCCATGCTGAGCTCTATATGAGAAAAAAAATTATAATAGTCATTTAAGTTAATATGTAGAGCTGTGTTGTCCAATATGGTAACCTCTGGCTATAGGTGGCTATTTAAAATTTAAAAATACAATTTAAAATGAAGAATTCTATTTTTTTCATATTTATTGTTGAAAATATTATGTATGTCCCTTTTTTCTCCATTGACTCCTTATAGCCTGCCCCCGCACCCCATCACAGGCCTCCACCACCCTATTGTCTGTGCCCATGGGTTATGCATGTATGCATACAAGTTATTTGGTTGATCTTTTCCCACCACCCACTCCCCACCCCAGCCTTCCCTCTGAGGTTCAACTGTCTGATCCATACTTCTATGTCTCTGGGTCTATTTTGTTCATCATTTTATTTTGTTCATTAGATTCCACATATCATGTGATACTAGTCTTTCTCTGAGTGGCTTAATTAACTTAGCATAATACTCTCCAGGTCTCTCTATGCTGTCTCAAAGGGTAAGAGATCCTTCTCTTTTTTTTTACTGCTGCATAGTATTCCATGGTATAAATGTACCACAGCTTTTTTTATCCACTCATCTACTGATGAACACATGGGCTGTTTCCAGATCTTAGCTATTGTAAATTGTACTGCTATGAACATAGGGGTGCATATATTCTTTCTGATTGGTGTTTCTGGTTTCTTATGATATATTCCTAGAAGTCAGATCACTGGGTCAAATGGTAATTCCATTTTTTATTTTTTGAGGAAACTCCATAATGTTTCCATAATGGCTGCATCAGTCTGCATTACCCCCAGCAGTGTACTAGGGTTCCCTTTTCTCCACATCCTCGCCAGTACTTCTCATTTTTGACTTGTTGATGGTAGCCATTCTGACAGATATGAGGTGATACCTCCTTGTCCTTTTAATTTGCATCTTTCTGATGACCAGTGACTTTGAGCATTTTTTCATATGTCTCTTGGCCATCTGAAGGTCTGCTTGGAGGAGTATCTATTTAGGTCATTTGCCCATTTTTTAATTGGATTGTTTGTCTTTCTTTTGTTAAGTTGTATGAGTTCCTTATATATTTTGGATATTAACCCTTTATCAGATGTATCATTGGAAACTATGTTCTCCCATACAGTGGGCTCCCTTTTCATTTTGTTGATTATTTCTTTTGCTGTGCAGAAGCTTCTTATTTTGATGTATTCTCATTTATTTATTTTTCTCTTAGTTTCCTTAGCCCTAGGAGATAAATCTGAAAACATATTGCTATGAGAGAAGTCTAAGATTTGTCTGCCTATGGTGTTTTTTTTTAAGATTTTTATGGTTTCACATCCTACATTTTAATCTTTTATACATTTTGATTTAATTTTTGTATATGGTGTAAGTTGGTGGTCTAGTTTCAATTTTTTGCACATATCTGTCCAATTTTCCCAGTACCATTTATTGAAGAGATTGCTCTGGCCTTCTTTGTCAAATATTAATTGAGTGTAATGGCTTGGGTCAATTTCTGGGGTCTCTGTTCTGTTCTAATGATCTATATGCCTCTTCCTGTGCCAGTACCAGGCTGTTTTGATTACAGTGGCTTTGTAGTATAACTTGATGTCTGGTGTTGTTATCCCTCCAACTTTATTCTTTTTCCAGATTGCTATGGCTATTCAGGGTCTTTTTTTGTTCCATATAAATTTTTGGAGTTTTTGCTCCATACCTGTGAAATATGCCATTGGTTCTTTAATAGGGATTGCATTGAATCTATAGATTGCTTTGGGTAGTATGGACATTTTAATGATGTTAATTCTATCAATCTGTGAACTGTTATATTCCTCCATTTGTTTATATCTTCCTCTATCTCTTTTTTCAATGTCCTGTGGTTTTCTGAGTATAAATCTTTTGCCTCCTCTGTTAAATTTATTCCTAAGTATCTTAATCTTTTTGTTGCTATGATAAATGAGATTATTTAGTTTCTCTTTCTGAGAATTCATTATTGGTGTATGAAATGCCATCGATTACTGGGTATTAGTTTTGTATCCTGCTACATTGCCACATTCCTTTATTAAATCTAGTAGGGGTTTTTTTGTGGTTTGTTTTATGGAGTCTTTAGGGTTTTCTATGTACAATATCATGTCATCTGCGGATAATGAGAGTTTTACTTCCTCCTTTCCAGTTTGGATGCCTTTTATGTTTTCTTCTTGTCTGATCAGTGTGACTAGGACTTCCAGTACCATGTTGAATAAGAGTGGTGAAAGCAGACATTCCTGTCTTGTTTTTGTTCTTAGGGGAAATTGTTTTAGTTTTTGCCCATTGAGTATTATGTTGGCTGTAGGTTTGTCATATATGGCCTTTATTATGTTGAGGTATGATCCCTCTATTTCCACTTTACGTCCACTGATGCGATCATGTGATTTTTGTCTTTTAATTTGTTTTTGTGATGTATAACGTTTATTGATTTGCAAATATTGTACCAGCCTTGCATCCCTGGAATAAATCCCATTTGGTCATGGTGTATGATTTAATATATTTCTGGATCAGATTTGCTAAAGTTCTTCATTCTTACTAGCCACAATCAAGTGCTCAGTTGCCACATGTGGCTAATGGCTACTGTATTAACAATGCAGAACAGAACATGTCCTTTATCTCAGAAAGTCCTAACACTCACTTAGAAAGACTGGGAAAGAGAAATGATGTTGCCAAATCTGTGTGGCCTTTAATAATATTTCTTAACCACTATTCAACAAAAGTTAATACCTAGAAATTAGAATTGCTAAAGGCCAGATGAATAAAATATTTCTGCTCCCTGATCATTTATTATTGAAATGACAAGTAATCGAACTTAGTATATAGGGAAGTTGCAATTTTTCTTAAGATCATATTTAAGTTTGCATCTTTAATATCAACCATGTTCATTTATTATTTTTAAGATATCCAATCTTCTAGGTGACCTGTTAATATTGGTGCCACTAGGAACTGCATGAATAACATAATGGTATTTTTATCATCGTAGCTTCACTAATTTTTAAAAATTTTTTAAAATGTTTTAATTTTAAATTACGATTTGACTTTCTCCTACTTTATAAATATTTTAACAGCAGTTTTTAAATATTTCTATATAAATATATCAGTTATTTCATTCTCAAATATTTCAATGAAGGAAAAATTAAAGGGAAATTGAGATAGTAGACATAATAGATATTATTTCATATTTTATTTTATTAAATTACCCCAGTTACTTGTGATTCCTTTTGCCATCAGTATTGTCATTCTTGGGATCAGTGTTCTGTCCCATTGACCTCTCTGCCTATTCTTGTGCCAGTACGAGGCTGTTTTGTTTACAGTAGCTTTGTAGTATAACTTAATATCTGGTATTGTGGTCCCTCCAACTTTGTAAATCCATGAAAAAATAATTAGCATCTTTCTCTGACAATGATTATCCTACATGAGCAAGAGAATAACTAATAAAATTTCCTGAGCATTATGTACTATCACTCCTCTCTTCCTCATATCTTTTGAGCAGAGGTACTTTCTAAAATACTTAAATCTCATGTTCTTTGATTGGAGGGGCGGGCAGCATTGTTTTTTCTTTGTCTGGATTCTGAACTTATACACTTTGTTCTGTTGCTTCAATAGCTTACCAGTAGCTTCAAGTAGTTCAATCACTACAGACTAGAAAATTTTAATTTGACACATAAAGATATTCATGTATGTATTATTTTGGTGGTATTTCTCTTAACAGGATTGTTAAAGAAAAGTTATCTTAAATTGGGAAAATTATTTACTATATAGCACTAGTAGTAGAAGTTCAAAATTATTTACTCTCTACATAAATTCCGTGTGTCCTCTCTTATTTCTTCAAATTTTAATTGTTTTCTTTAGAAAGTACATGTAAATACTTGGTCCTTTCCTTCTATCTTATGTGAGCCTATTTGTTCTTTACATAACAATTTTACTGTGACTTGCAAAGCTACTTACAAAGAAATTTAAAACGAATAACCATGGAGAATGACTTTTTCCTTTTCCTCTTCGTTGCACATAGCTGATTGTATAGCAAATTATAACAACCAACTGGATAACAAACAAACAAATCTGATGCTCCCTGAGTCAACTGTTTATGGTGATGTGGACCTTAGTAACAAAATCAATGAGATGAAAACCTTCAATAGCCCAAATCTGAAGGATGGGCGTTTTGTCAATCCATCAGGGCAGCCTACTCCTTACGCCACCACCCAGCTCATCCAGTCCAACCTCAGCAACAACATGAACAATGGCAGCGGGGACTCCGGCGAGAAGCACTGGAAGCCGCCCGGGCAGCAGAAACAAGAAATGGCGCCAGTTCAGTATAACATCATGGAGCAAAACAAACTGAACAAAGGTGAAGAGCTTTGCCTTCCTTCCCGTTCTTTTCTGTATCGGTACCCTTACCCCTTCTGCCCTACGTGACGAAACTCATCCGGCACTAGCAAGCGAACCCTCTCCTTTGTCACTAAAGTATTCTTATTTCTTTGGTTTCAAAATGCCCAGTGTCAAAGAGTTAATTAGCACAACAATCACCTTGGAAATTGATTTTAAAATAAATATAAGTATTTTCAAATGGTTTTGAGATTAATTTAAATTTAATCGTAGGTGAGGGATTGCTTAGGACAGACGATCTTTTATTCATAAGGCAGATGTACAACCGTCACAATACCTCACATTTTAAATAAATAGACTATTCCATTTTTCCAGTCAAGGATGGAAGATAATTGCTTCTATATGGTCATATAAATGAATGGCACTTTTATATCAAACTGAAGAGAAATAATTAAATTGAACTGGAGAAGTGGTTCAGTTTGCTGTCTCTCTCTCACCTCATGCGGTTACTGTATGATTGTAGAACCTAAGTTTCTTTGGTTGACCTGATTGAAGTCTGTCAGGATAGAACCTAAAATAAATTGAGTTTAGTGTTAACTTGTCGCAGCAGAATGGTATTTTATGGCCAGAGGGGAATGTTTCTCTATTGTAATATGTGTGAGCTTGAAGAGACTGGTATTTGATTTCTTTGTAGTCCTTCAGGCTACAGCTTTAATAACATGATTTGTAAAGTTATGTCATAAAAAAAGATGATTGCTTTTATTTGAATAGATCAGGCAATTTTGTATAAATGTCCAGGTAAAAGATACATTTTATTGTAGATAATTAGAGATATAGACATATTTTCTTTAGCCTTGAGTTGGGACCTCTTTTTTAAAAAATAAAACAGATATAGTTAGAGATTACACAGCAGCTTAAGCCTACTATTTCGTTGGATTAAGTTAGTGTTATATGTTCTAATTTAATAATACATATCTTGCTTTTTTCTAAGTTTAGGAAAACACTTGATTGGCATAATAACCCAATTTAATAAATATTTCCTAAGACTCTTGCACAAGTTCATGACAAAGGCTGACAAAGATGAATAAGACTGTTCTGCAATAGTAGAGTTTGCAGTGAGGATTCAAACCATTGTTACAGTATTCCTCCATAGTACATGGCTTTACTGTGGACTGGAAAGGTCTGACAGCCCCCTGTACAAATATTTCAGAACTCTGATTTATTGTTTAGACTGCTTGTAAACAGACTTGGTATGTGAAACTATAATAAAGACTCTGGCATGCAACTAGACTGACAGATTGTTACTTATTACATTCCAGTGGTGAGTTTATCATTTGGACTTTTCCCTTTGCCTTGGTGGCAGATTGAAATACTTTGCTTTCTTATCATGGATATATTTTTATTAGATATAATCTTGCTGACAAGTTTCAGGTTTATTTTTTATTTTACTTATTTTTTATGATTTAAAGACATGGTATTTCCTGATTTCTTATTGTTTAAATGATTTTGTTACTATATTTATAAAGGTAAGAAGTTAAGAAAATCTGATTTCTAGCCAACCTGATTTACAAAGAATTTAAAGAGAAGAAATAGTCTCTCATAGGATTTGTTCACATCTGTGTTTAGTCTAATTCATGGAAAAAAATGATGCAAAGAATTTGTATTTTGTAAATCATTTTTTAAAAATATTTTAAATTGAATTTATTGGGGTGACATTGGTTAATAAATACGGTTTCAGGTATACAATTCTACAGTGCATTATCTGTATATTGGATCATGTGTTTACCACCCCAAGTCAAATCTCCTTATAAATCTTAAAGGATACATGTTTAAAGGTCTTCAATTTTTCTTGACTTTTCCTCTGGAACATTTACACATGTCTTAGCAAGTGATCAACCCGATGCTTTAAAAAGCCTAATTGTTGGTAAATGATTGAGGCACCGAAAAGAAAATAAATGTTTAATTTTTTTCATCCAAAATGTCTAGATTATCGAGCAAATGACACAATTCCTCCAACTATCCCATACAACCAATCATATGACCAGAATACAGGAGGATCCTACAATAGTTCCGACCGGGGCAGTAGTACATCTGGTAAGTAAGGGGAATGAAAGAGAAAGTCAGCAGTTTTTTTCAAAAGATGTTGCATTCTAAGATTATGAATTGAATGCTAATGAACTGAAGTGTATATATGACATGTCTATAACTTCATATAATTTTTTTAAATTTTGTTTTATTGCTTAACGTATTACGAAGTGTATTACATATGTCTTCTTTTTCCCCTTGACCTTCCCCCGGCCACCCCTACCCCACAGTGTCTTGTGTCCATTGGTTATGCTTATATGCATATAATTTTAATCTTTCAGATATGGGTCTTGTTTCTGTAATTTGAAGGACTATCCATTCAGAAAACCATTTTATGTTCTATTTGCTAGCAAAGATTGAGGATCTTATTTTCCTCCTTGTTGGGGAGCTTTCATAAAGCCAGAAGCATGAAGTAGTCTTTGAAGGCTACACCTTCACCAATTCCAAGCCAAAATATAATTTAAAAAATTTTGCACATATAGTTAATCTGCTAAATGTTACCATTTGAAGGTACATAAAATTTTGACACTTGAGAATCAAAAGCCTCAGCAACAATATTGTGAGATCTAAGTACAGTAGGAACCTGCATCAGTTTGTAAACTCTCTACTCCCTCAATTCTTGCTGTAAAACCTCATTAAGCAACCTCCCAACTTAAGTCTGCAAGTACCTCAGAAATCATATTGAGGCCTCTTCCCTGTGGTCTTCATGCTGTTGCAGCTGTTTGCCAGCTGTTTTCCTGATAGGGCCTGCAGATGGGAGTTTGCTAGTACTTAAGTTTTGTTTTTCTAATTAAAGGCAGTTCATTATTAGGAGTAACATGTGGCAAGTCACACCACAATGAGAACACAACCAATTGATCTTGACTTTATTATGTTTCCCCAGGACAGGGTAGAAATATCACTTCCAAACATCTGGACTAAAATTATTGCTAGGTGCTTTTAGCCAAGTGTCTCTACCTCTCTTTTGTAATGAATACTAGACGTCTGGTGCATGAAATTTGTGCATGGTGTGAGGGACCCTCAGCCTGGCCTGCACCCTTTCGCAATCTGGGACCCCTCGGGGGATGTCTGACTGCCAGTTTAGGCCCGATCCCTGCAGTCAGACATCCAGGAGTCAGACATCCCTCTCACAACTTGGGATGGCTCACCCCCAACCACTCACCTGCCTTCCTGCTTGCTCCTAAAGGCTCACCTGCCTGCCTGCTCAGTGCACGTCATAGCGACCGGTTGTTCTGGTTGTTCCGCCATGACAGTTGCTTAGGCTATTATATATAGAGTAGAAGCCTGTTGCATGAAGATTTGAGCAATGAGCCTTCCTTCCCCTGGCTGCTGGCACCAGTTTTCCTCTGGCACCTGGGACCCAGGCCTTTGGTCCGGCTGCAGTGGAGAAGCCAAGCCTCAAAGCTAGGCTTCTCCCCTCCAGCTGCAGTGTGAGGCTTGGCTTCTCTGCTGTGGCCAGTCTTCAGTCTTCAGTCTTCACTCAGTGGCTGAGTATGCAAATTAACCGCCATCTTTGTTGAGTTAATTTACATAGTCACTCTGATTGGCTGGTGGGTGTAGCGGAGTGACACCAGTTTGCATGTTTCTCTTTTATTAGTGTAGATTATATTTGCATTTTCCCATATTTCCTTGATTAAGACATGGAGATTGGGTATTTTCTAGTCTGTGTTCTCATATTTGAATTAAAGAAGCTGAGAAATAGCTCTTTATTTTTTATATCTATTTTTATTCTACCATGTGTTGTTTTTTTTAAAAATTAAGATCTTATCAAATTACTTTTTTAAAGTAAGTAAACCCTGAATTAAGAGAAATTTTTCAAAGATCTACTCTTGTGAAAAGCATAGAAAAAATGTTAATATTGATATCTCATGCCATTTCATCTTTGAATTCTTAGCCATTTAAGAAAATCATAACTTAACTAGAGGCCCAGTGCACGAAGATTCGTGCAAGAATGGGCCTTCCTTCCTGTGGCTGTCGGCACCGCCTTTGCTCCAGCCAGAGCTGCCTTTCCACCTTCCCACACTGCCCAGAGGCCCAGAGTGGCTGGGGCGGTGTAGAATGCCTGCATCATTGCCATTGTGATGGTGATGCCCCCAGCCACTTGGTGCCTGCGTATGCAAATTAACCCATATCTTTGTTGGGTTAATTTGCATATTTACTCCTGATTGGCTGGTGGGCATTGTGAAGGTACTGTCAATTTGCATTTTTCTCTTTTATTAGTGTATATGGGGAAAATATAATTCGGGGTTGTTAATTTTCAATTGACTTTCTCCATCCCTCAGCTTCAGTGTCTAGGTCCTGATGTTCTGTAGCTATTTATTACTAGGTATTCTGTGACTATTCAGTGAATAGATTAAAAAATGTCAAATCTGGTGATAATTAGGGGAGAGAAGGAAGCAAGCAAATGAAGTGTAAAAAAGATTTTTGTTGTGATGTTAGGTCTGAGGACACAAATGGAGTTATTAAAGTAGATATGTGCCAGTAAATCAAGAGGAAAGCTTTGGGTATGGTCAACTCCACAGTATGTGCTCAGCCATTCCAACACAGGCCAAGTGAGTGCAGGAGGAAAGAATGGAGACAATCATAATTTACTAGTGGCCCGGTGCACGAAATTCGTGCACGGGGGGAGGTGTCCCTCAGCCCAACCTGCACCCGCTCCAATCTTGGACCCTTTGGGGGAGCCCTCTCCAATTCAGAAGTTCCCGTCTGTCTTTGCAATCATATGAATGAATTGGCTGAGACCCCAACCCAGTTTGGATTGTTGCTCACAGAATAAATAGAGGCTTTTTTTTTTTTTTCTTCA